GAAGGAAATGAGATGGAGATTGCACATCTGTGTGATTGTGTGTGTAGATGCATCCCCAAGTCTGTGCTCCAGCTGTAAGAGGAAAGCTGGGACAGCATGGTGCTGCTCACCACAGAAGAAGAGGTGCTTGCCCCCCTGCAAATGCCTGTGCTGCCTCTGCTGGACTTGCTTCTCGTCCCTCTCTGTGAGTGTTGGGCTTTGGGGAGGGCAGCAGTGGCCAGAGGGTGCAAGGGGAGGCTGCAGGGAGCACAGCTGCCCTGGGCAGAGGGACTGGTGCAGGGCTGCCCTTCCTCTCCCCAGCACGTGCAAAGTCTCCCACCAGGGCAGAGCTCTGGGCTGAGCACTGAGCTCCTTGCTTATGTTGAAAGTGTAAACTGTACAGCAATCAGCCTTGTGTATATGAACCAATAAATACTATGCAAACCCCTAGGGACACTCTAGCAGTATGTACAAAGCACTAACAGCTCTGCTCTCAAATACTTCTTCAGGCTGCAGGATGGGCAAAGCCTTTGGAATATGTGAACAGCTCTGGTGAATGGAGCAGGAAGGCTATAGGAGTGGGAGGGCAGCAGCCCATCCCTGTCCTGTGCCACTCTGCCTGAGCCTGGCCCCTTCCTGGCCTGAAGAGGGGGGGCTAGAGGTGCAGTCCCATGGTCTAGCCCCAGTTTGTGTTGGATCCATCTGGATTGAAGCTGTAGGCCTGTGCTGAGGTTCTTGGAGCCCAGGGAGGATGTGCAGTGAGAGAGCAGGGGGTGCTTGTGCCACACATGGGGTTGTGCCTAGCTCTACTCAGCACAATATCTGCTCAGGAGATGAGCCAGGAGCTAGCAATAGCCAACAGCCGTGCAATATGCACCCCAGGCAAGGGCTTTGCAGGGACCCTGGCCTCCCTGCAAGGGGGGTTGTAGCCCTGTATACTGACCCTCTCGGGACCAATCCCAGAGACATGGGGTCTGCTGCCCTGGGGGCTGGGGCAGCCTCAGGCCAGCTGCTCTAGCAGGAGAGCAGCACAGGGCAGAGCGCTCAGAGTCTGGGCAGTAGGTTGAATCTATTGTAATACCTGACTCCAGGAGCGCAGGGTACAGGTAGTGGCACTTGGTCACAGGTCCCTGACCCTGTCCTTTACCAAACTGATACGGGGACCTGGCCTTTGTAGCACAGTGATGTGGGGACGCCCTGCTCTTTCTCCTGGAAGTGGCCATGAACCTGCTTTGCTGAGTCCCAGTTTGTTCTCCGTGGCCAGGTGCAGAACAAGTGCACCTCCAGCTTCAGGCCACGTGGCCTTGGCAGGGCAGCCCTCCCTTTCAGTGGGTACACATCTGCTGGGAGAGCCCCTAGCTGCCCCGCAGCCAAGAAGCCTCGCTCCAGCAAAGCGACTGACCCAGATTAGCCTTGGAGAGCAAAGCAGTCCCCTCCCCACCCCAAAGTTGAGCCATATAGGCACAGACTCTTCATCCGTCACCCTTGCTGCGTACAATAACCTCCCTAGACCCACTGCAACAGCTGACTCCGTAGCATCACCCTAGAGTTGTGTGTGGGTCCAGTGCTTTGGCCTTGTGTATGCCGTAGGGAATGTGCTGTCTGCAACCGTGCCAGGCACCTGCAGTGACATTGCTTTGCGCTCAGATTGCTTGTAGGGCTGGTAGGGGGAGGCTGCACCCAACATTGAGCCTAGAGAATGCTGCAGTCTGCACACTAGAAGCTTTTTAGAAGTTTTAAAAATTACTTTTATTTTCTTTTTTTAATTGTTATGGAAACAAGCCTTTTGGATCTCCCTGTCTTAGGCCCTGATGTATAGATCATTTCCCTGTACACCAGCTAACAGACTATGAATTAATAAATAAATAAATAACACAGTGTCTCGTCTCTGTTTTTCCAAAGATGAGGAAGATGGAGACCCCGGGGCCGGGTCCTCTCTTGCCGGGAGGGCGGGGGCGGCCGTGGGAGTGGCGGCTTCCTGTGTTCTGCCATTCCCGGGGGAGTTGAAGGGAGCAGGAACGTGCGCAGCCTCTCCCGGGAAGTACGGGAGGGTGCGGCGGCCTCTCCCGGCTTGGGCGAGGGGGAAGCGTCCGTGCAGCCGATGCCACTGGTACCCCAGCACGGCGGGAGCTGTCCCGGGGGCACCGGCGCTGCCGAGTCCCCGCCCGAGAGGCCCCGCCCGAGCACCGGCGCGACCGGCGCTGTCCAGCG